TCAGAACGGAAGAGCGGTGTTTTGACCCGCGACTATGCCGCCTCACAGTCACCCAGTTGCCCTGCTGTGGAGGCTCTGTAACCGGAACCGAACAATGTACAGGACTCCCTGAGCTAGTCGCATCCAAAGCCGTATCTAGAGCCCTCACATTCTTACTGTCCTCAATTAAAGTTTGGATGCGTGTCTCTAATTCTGAAACCTTCTCTGTCAGCCTAACTGTTTTCCTGCATTTATCACATGTGAATCCCTCGTCACCGACAGAGAGAGCTCAACTATACATGTGGCAAGCGGTGCAAACAACAATAGCAGGAGAAGAAGCCATTACTCACCGTGATTGAAGAATGATTCTGACTTACCAATGTTGTTTGAACTCGTAAAACACGGCGTGAGAGAGAATAGAAACGGGGCAAGAGAAAAAGAAAACGGTAATAGACGCGAATGGAAACGTGAATGACAAGCTAACCGGCTAACTTGCTGTAAGGGTCGTGATTGTGATGTAATGTCAGTATAGAAACACTACTGAAAATGCAGTCAAGCCTTCTTTCAGGCAATGATGGCTGTGGCATCATGATCTCTAAATTAGTGCTTCTTAATTGCTTATAAATTCAAATCCATTGAATTAAATTAAATTTTAAATTATAATAAAATTCAAATATCACAGAAAAAATGCATCTACATAGTCAACAAATGCAAGCTATAGCACTGACCCAATGAAGAAAGTGAAATTTCGGACAAGTGGTCTCTCACACTGGCCATTATTATTGTTGAGCTCTGTAACTGAGTTCCTGCTTACCTGCATATAGAGCATTTCAGTTCCAAGAATTATGAGCTTCTTTTTCTGTTAGTCTGCTCTAGGGATGCACCGAAATGAAAATTCTTGGCCAAAACCGAACAAAATGAAACACTGGGCCGAATACCGAACACGGTTTTTCTAGTTTGTTTCCCCACGTATTTTGCCAATTTTTTTTCACCATTGCATAAATTAAATAGCCAAAATGTGCTTTTTACTACCGTATTGTCCCGAATATAAGACGATATTTTTTTCTTGGAAATACATCTGAAAAAACGCGGTCGTCTTATATTCAGGGTCTAGACTTTGACATGTCAATAATACACCCACAACACTAGGTGGCGCCAAATACGCATAAAACGAGTGTGCCATGAAATACGTAATGTAATGCGTGTTGTAAATATCGCGAGTAAAAACAAAAGAGAAAGAAAACCTTACAGCTGCATGAGGCGCCTTTTTCCAAAAGGTACATCTGGAAAAAGGGGGGGGTCTTCTTATAATCAGGGTCGTCTTATATTTGGGCCAATACTGTATTTTGTCTTGCTTTTCAAAGAAAAAATCTATTACAAAACAATAATTTAAAATATTTAACACTGAACATTTTTTTACATTCTAGCAGACGTTATACCAACAAAGCACAATTTAACAAAATTAATAAGTTAGTAAAATTATATTTTTTGGCCATCAGACCCCCTTCTTGAATAAGGCATGTATTTTTAATAGAGCTGTTGTAATTATTATTATCATTATTATTATCTTACTTTTTATTTTATTTTACAGAACAACAGTAAAATTACAATAGTAACGTTTATGAATGTTGATGGTGTTCTTGCTTTTTTCTCAACTTTTATTTTGGCGGAAACGCACAGGAAGACCTCA